GTACTGGCACAAGAATAGGCATATAGATCAATGGAACAGAACAGAGAACCCAGAAATTGACCCAAAACATTATGCCCAATTAATATTTGACGAAGGAAGCAAGAGCATACAATGGAGTAAAGACAGTTTCTTCAATAAATGGTGTTAGGAGAATTGGACAGGTACATGTAAAAAAATGAAACTAAACCACCAATTTACACCATAATAAGAATAAACTCAAAATGGATAAAAGATTTAAATGTGATTCATGAAACTACAAAAATCCTAGAAGAAAATGTAGGCAGCAAAATGTTAGACATCACATGTAGCAGAATTTTTACTGATACATTGCCTAATGCAAGAGGAAAAAAAATTAATACATGGGACTACATCAAACTAAAAAGCTGCTGCACAGCAAAAGAAACAAGCATCAAAATGGAAAAGGAACCCACTATATGGAAGAGCATAATTGCCAACGATACATCAGATAAGGGGTTGGTTTCCAAAATATATAGAGTACTCATGCTACTCAACAAAAGAAAAACAAAGAACCCAACTAAAAAATGGGCTGAGGACCCAAAGATACACTTCTCCAAACAGGACATACAAATGGCCAAGAGACATGTGAAAAAATGCTCAACATCACTAGCCATCAGAGAGATGCAAATTAAAATAACTATGAGGTATCACCTCACACCTGCCAGAATGGCTGCCATCTACAAATCATCAAACAACAAGTGCTGGCGAGGATGTGGAGAAAAGTATACTCTAGTAAACTGCTGGTGGGAATGCAGACTGGTGCAGTCACTCTATCTAAAAAAACAAACAAAAACAAAACAAAAAATCAATGGAAAATTATCCTAGGGTGAGGATTAAAAAACAAAAACAAAAATCCTTTCCAGAATATTGAAGAAAATATAAGGTTATAACATTGTGAGCCTAACATTATACTGGTTCCAAACAAATAACAAAATGATAAGTATAGGTCAACTTCATTTATTTAAAAGACCTGTCAGAATGGCTGCCATCAACAAATCATCAAACAAGTGTTGGCGAGGGTGTGCAAAACAGGGGACTCTAGTACACTGTTGGTGGGAATGCAGACTGGTGCAGCCACTGTGGAAAACACTATGGTGTTACCTCAAAAAGTTAAAAATTGAATTGCCATTTGACCCTGTGATCCCACTTCTAGGAATATACCCTAAGAAGCTTAAAACACCAATAAGAAAGAATATATGTACCCCTATGTTCATGACAGCACTATTTACAATAGCTAAGATCTGGAAACAATCCAAGTGTCCATCAGTAGATGAGTGGATAAAAAAGCTGTGGTACATATACACAATGGAGTACTATGAAGCTGTAAGAAAGATCTCTTATCATTTGAGACGACCTGGAGAGAATATTATGTTAAGAGAAACAAGCCAAGCAGAGAAAGACAAGTATCACATTATCTCACTTATTTGTGGAATATAATGAACTAAACAAACTGATAAACAAAACTGACCCAGAGACATAGAGGTAGGGTACAGAGTGACAAACCTCAGAAAACGGGTGTTTGGGGAAAGAGATAAACCACAGAACTTATATGCATGTACACATAACCAATGGGCATAGACAACAAAGCTGGAGATGGGGTGGGGGGGATGGGAAGGAGGGTGTCAATGGGGGAAAAAGGAGAAACATCTGTAACAAAAACAAATTCATAAAAATAAGTTAAAAATTTAAAAAAAATAAAAGACATAGCTCTAAACAGGTTGAAATGAAACTCAGGAGTGGAATGTAGTAAGAATATGTTGTATTTATCCCAGGAATGGAGGCATAATTCAAAAACATATATTATCAATGTAATTAATTCACTAATGAGAAAAAAAACTTATTTCAATGGGTGCCAAAAATCATTTGCATAGTTTTAATTCCTGATATGTTAATAACATTAGGAATAAGTGGAAACTAAATTTCGCAACTAGGAAATTTACACTTACATATGTGGCTGGTGTTACATTTCTATTATATTGCGCTGCTCTGGACTCTAGAAGATACTCTGCTTCTATAGGACAAAAAGAACTTCTCCAAATCAATGAGAAAAATATAAGGAACTCAGTTGGCCAATAGACAAGTAGGAACTCACTCACCTTGATGGTAAGGAAGGAATGGCACACTTCAGGCCACTGGAGCCCTGTGGGGATGTGGGATGAAGGCATGAAGCAGCAACCAGGTTTTAGGAGGAGATGGCAGTGGGTCCAGATGCAGGGAGGACATGGTGGTCTGAGCCACCAACCACTGGAAATTCAGCTCCTAGGGCCCAGGCCTTCCCACCTAGAACCCTGAGCACCAACTACAGGGCCTGAGTTGAGACTGCAGGGTGGGGGTTCAAAGGGTAGCGTCCTGCTTCCCTCCTGGCCTCTGGGTGCTGGCTCTCAGGTGGGTATGAGCAGCTCCCACTAGACCTCCTCCTCCAGCTTCTAGTGGTTGGTCAGGAACATATGCAGCTCCAGGGCACACACAGAGGTGCACCACGCAGATGCCCCTATAAGGCAGGGTGGCTGCCTCGTTGTGGAGAAAGCGGGAGCAGACCACCTCTGGCCATTAGCAACTTCAGAGTATGCCTTCCCTCAAGTCACCTTTCCTGGGGTGGCTCTTACCTGGTGACTGAGCTATAGCTATCAAGGCACAGGGGGACACTGATGGACGTCCTCCTCTCCAGTGTCCCATGCCAGAGATGGCTGAGAGTTTGTTGGGACTGCATCACTGATGTCTTCCTTTGCACAATCTCCCTTCTTCCTTTCACACGTGTTGATCCCAAATAAACACACATTCTCTTCCATCCCAACAGTCTCAGCAAATGTTTCTGGAGAACCCAGCCTGGCGCATGCTCTGTGGTGAAGGGCACCAGTGTCTCCTGCAAGTACCCTGTGACCATGAGGAGGAAAGGCGGGGGGGGGAGATGTGTCCCTGTGGGTTCCAGTTTGTCCTCACTTATCCCCACCTCCTGCCCATCTTTTCTTCCCCACTGGGGCCCTGCTGAGCTACAGTGACTTCAGGCCCACAACCAGCCTCACTCACTCCCACAACTGCGTACAGTCCAATTCCTTTAACAAACCTCTTAAACAATATCACTTATAGTGGATTTGCTCTCCCATCAAGCCCCTGATATAGTGTCATTAGGAAAAGAAAAGTAAGCTTCATGAAGAATAAGAAATAGAATACTTGGCCGGTGTTGCTGAGTGGTTAGAGCATCAGCCCATGCACTGAAGGGTTGTGGATTCAATTCCCAGTCAAGGGCATGTACCTGGGTTGCAGGTTTGATCACCAGACCCCACTGGGGTGAGTGTGGTAGGCAACCAATCAATGTGTCTCTCTCACATCAATGTTTCTCTCTCTCTCTCTCTCTCTCTCTCCCCCCTCCACCCCATCCCCCTGGATTTGAACCTGTGTTCTTGCTTCTTAAATATTAAGTTACCTGTTCATATTTTAAATGAGGTTTGATCTGAAAAAGTGAAATTCGAGGGTGATTTGTGCTGGCCGTAGGCTTTAGTGAAAGGAAAGAGACCTAGTGTGAGATGTCAGGTGTGTGCTTTGCCTCTAGGAGATGGAGGGCAGGACCCTCCAGTGTGGAAAACCCAAGGAACAGTAAAGACATGATCCCTGCACTCAGGGTATGAAAGTTACCCCCAAGAGCTATGATATGACCATGTCTGGAACCCATGGGGCCCTTCGTACTCCCTGAGGACTGGAGAAAATGGTCTTGAACTCCATACCCTGCTCCCTGTCTGTAGATGATACCAAAGCCTGTGAGGTCTAAGCGGTAGCAGCATCTGGTGCCCTAACCCACCTTCCAAGTGTTGTGGCCATTGTTTTACTTCCACCTTCTAAATCTCGAATTCTGTGCAGTTTCTCTTGTACCCAACCCTGAGCTGAGCCACAAAGGAAGAGAACTCTGGGAAAGGTTGTCCCAGCTAAGCAAAGTTGACACAGTGTGATCTCTCTTCCACACCCAGACACCAAACCAGACAATCACGCTCCATGGGTCTCTCCAGACACTGGCTACCCTTGCAGAGTCCTAACAAAGACTGGGAGCTTGGATGCCAAGGACTGAGCCCGTCCTCCCTCCAGACAGTCACCCACTCACAAAAATAAAATGCAGGTAGTGATGATAGCAACCACTTAACAAAGTTGGTTATTTAATTTGCTAAATTAGTTATTTTAAATTAATGAATATTCTAATTATATACATTAAGAAAAACAACTTAGGAACTCCAGGATTCAATCACCAAAGACTGAAATAACATTCTGAAAAAAGAAATGTCAAAATTAAACATTCCTGCAAATAGTTTATTCAAAATTTGTCATGAAATAACAAACCATAACAATAGGTATATCGATGTATTCAGCATAAGAAAAACATTTTTAAATAAACTCAATATTTATATACTAATTTGGGAACATCTATAAGATATATTAAGCAAAAGAACAAGATGGGTCAGTATATAATTTGCTACAACTTGTCTTAAAAGAGGGGAAGTAATACATATGTATGGTACCTATATTTACATGTATGTATACTCTATCTATGTGCATAGAGTGCATGCATGTGCTTATGTAGTCCTATACTATTTCTGGGAAGACCCAGATTGCACTAGTATCACTGGCTGCCTCTGGGGAGGGGAAGTGGGTGGCTGTGGAACAAGGATGGAAAGCAGATTTTTTACTATATAATACTTTATACTTTTTTAGGTTTGAATTATGCATAACTATTATCTATTGAAAAATAAATTTAAAAGAAATTCTAAACTTAGCAGCAATAAAACATGCATTAAGTTTATCACCATCCAGGGCACATTAGGAAATGCCCATGTGGTATTTGTAGCTCACACTGTCATATAATTAAAAGAAAAAAAATCTTATGAGTCTTCTTCACCTCAATTCCCAAATCTCAAATACATATTTCACAAAGAAACAAAGACAGCCAGAGTTGGATGGTTTCTTTAAGTAAAGCCCCGCAGAGGCCTTAAGGTCTATCAGTCAGCAAGGCCGAGCTTAGCAGTGAAGAGCGAGGTGATGAGATCATCCCCAATTGTCAGAGCCAGGTCATGGGCTGTCTGGCCTCTAGTATTCTTCTTTCGGATGCTTGCGTTACATCTGGGAAGGGAATGGCAGTGAACTGAAGGACGTAGGCACTTGGACCTGAGCACTTGTCTCTTACCTGACATGGAGACCAGTCTGGGAGCCTCCTGGTCCCACCTTCCCAAACCTGTCCTCAAGAGGCCACCATGACCCCATTCTCAAGGGTGGCTCTCAAAAGGGCTTTCTGATTTCAAACGTTCAATTGTCAGTCCTGGCTATTGGTCCCCATTGCATCAATGTCCTACAACCAAGTGAGTTTAAGAGAGGGGCAATATTTTCATTGTGTGTTTAAAAGCAACCTAGTGCCCAAAAGCTATGGTGAGACAGTGGCCTCCATTCACTAGATTAAGTATATATTCAGGCACCAGGGCCCTCTGAAATCACCCCAGGTCCTCAAAAGTCTCCCTAAGAGGCCAGGGAACTTACCCCAATAAAGTAGTGATACACTCTCTTCCTGCCAGGCCAAGCAGAGTTGCTTCATGAAGAGCTGTATTTTGGAACCTGTTTGGAGAAAAAAAATCATCCTGGCTAAAGAAACTGGAGAGGGAGCACGTGACCAAAGGGGCCGTTTCACCCACTGACCTATTTAACAAATAGGGATAATCTCTTGAGTCTCCCCTCACTGCCGCTTCCTTTAGAGAAATACTGTGATGGTGGCTAAGCTATGATGTTAGAAAGTGAAAGGTCTATGAACACATTCATTTTTTAAAGTAAGAAACCTCACAAGCATCTGGTTTGTAGGTGATTCAACAAATGCAGTTTATGGAACATATTAGACATAGTCTTAACACTGGCTTGGAACTCTTGGCCATTGTCTATATAATAACCTTTCTGGACTGAGGCTACTATTCTTGTGTAGGAAAATGACTTTGGCTTCAGTGAGTTGGGTTTGTATAATATGAAAGTACACAACAATCTTAGAACCCACACAGCAAGGCCTAGAGGTCATTCAGAGCATATTTTACTGCATGCCAGACTGTCTCTACCTTGCCTGGCCAAATTTGGCCTGGAGAGAGAGCAGTGGATGGCTGAAATGGAGGATGGGGTGGTACCTGTATTCTAGAACTCATGAAAGTCTCCTGATCAGAGATGGCAGGAGTGATGATACATGGGAGTCATGACTGAAGTAGAAAGGGGATGAGCAATTGAAGTTCTGCATTCTCCCAGACCTGCTCTTTCCCTTGACATCACCACTCCATCTCCTGAACCTGCAGATATACCTGCAGCCATAAATGTATCCCAATGAAGAGAAAAATGTGATGGCCTTTTTTTCTGAAAAAGATAAATGGAGCCTCTGGTGAAAATCAGGTAAGCAATTGCCATGCCCAGACGGCAATCTTCCACTCGTCCCAGACTGACAGCAGCTTCATCCACCCCTCGAAACTCTCCAGTTGACAAACTCCACTCATGTACACAAAATCCCACTCATCTAGCACATTTCCTATTTTAACATGGACAGACAACAAAGGATCACAGACATTTCAGAAAAAATAAGTCATGCAAACATAAGAAAATTTTAAAAGACAAAACCTAGCCTGGCCAGTGTGGCTCAGTGGTTGAACACTAACCCACACACCAAGAGGTTGTCAGTTCAATTACTTATCAGGGCACATGCCCAGGTTATGGGCCCAATCCCCAGTGGGGGGCATGCAGGAGGTGGCCAATTGATGTTCTCTATCATATGTGTTTCTATCTTTCTCTCCCTTTCCCTTCCTCTCTCTAAAAAATCAATTAAAAAAATTAAAAAAAAAAAAAAAGACAAAACCTAACTGGTATCTTCAGAATGACTGAAGACAGTATCAGACTAAAACATGAGGCCATGAAGAAGAAACAATGAAAACAAATGGTAGCTCTTAGAAAGTAAACATATGACTGTTGAAATAAAAAGAATTACATAGGAGGATTAAGAAAATTTCTTAAGCCTGGCCGGTTTTACTCAGTGCTAACTGAGTTGAGGGTTCGATTCCAGTCAAGGGCATGTACCTCAGTTGCGGTTTGGTCCCTGGACCTAGTCAGGGTCATGTGGGAGGCAACCAATCAATCTCTCTCTCCCTCCCTCTCATTCTATCTGAAGATAAATGGAAAAATGTTCTCGGGTGAGGCTTAAAAAAAGAAAAGAAAAAAATCTTTTAAAACAGAGAGGAAAAGGGAGATGAAAAATATGGAAACAAAGAAAGATATAAGGGATCAATGAAACAGGTTTACTATCAAAGTAATAAGAGTTCTAGAAGGACAGAATAGAAAAAATAGATAGGAGAAAATACCAAAGAGATAATAGAAGAAATTTTTCTTGAGCTGAAGAAAGACATGACTTTCAGACTAAAAGGGCCAATTGGATGAATGAAAAACAGTACATCAATAATAATAATAATACCCTTGTGAAATTTCTGAACATCAAGGATAAATGCTTCCAAAAGAACAAATAGGTCACAAATAAACAAAAATTTGCTGTAGAATTTTCATGTGCTATGCGGGATGCTAGAAATCAAGAGAGCAAGGCTTTCTAAGACTTGAGGAAAATTCATTTTGAATACAGAAATTAATATTAGTCAAAGTATTAATCAAGAGTGAAGACCAAAGAAAGCCATTTTTAGGCCAGTCAAGGACTCAGACAGTTTTTCCTACACACCCTTTCTAAAGAAGTTACCCGAGGCCACACTTTATCCTGACAAGGGTCAAAACCAAGAAAAAGGAAAATGTGAACAATAACTATAGCTGGATTCCAAAGAAATAAAAACTCATAATGACCATTGTACAGCAGGGCTGAAAAGCTATCAGGCAAAATCCAAATAGGAAGTATACTCCAAAAAGAATGTCTCTAAGAACAATAACATTGAAAAAGTAAGAAAATAGATAGGATTATGAATTTGGTAAAGCCATGTTCTTTTTCAAACCAGAAAAAAAAACAAAGGCAATCAGAAAGCCCAGGAAAAGCAAAGATGCAAAAATTATATAAGTCATTCATAGTTTATGAAGGAATATGAATGTGACAGGATTTTGAATAATTCGTTGTGTATAAAGAGAATGCATTTGACATTTCTGGTAAGAATATTCTATTTTGAGTGGCCTAGGGGATCATTATCTTGATCCACAAAGAAGAAAATGTAATCACAACATACCGCATAATTCTGCATAAGTATTATAATGCAGTTGCTCTGTGTTTTTCAACTATTGAAATCAACTATTAGAATCAATTATAATTATGACATCTAATCATAAAGAATGGAAGTCTTCACAATAGTGTGGGAAAAGGTGGGAGGGGGGCGGGAGTGGGGAGGAGGGGATCAATGGGGGAAAAATGTGGAACATCTGTAATACATTTTACATCCAACAATAAAGATTTGAAAAACAGTAAAAAAAAAAAAAAAAAGAATGGAAGTCTTCATTATATTAACACAAGAATATATATCTGTGATCAGCCTTATAAAAACCAAGCACACACATGTTAAACCTCAGTTCTCAAACATCTCCCATCTTGAACAATTTGTTTCTCAACCTGACAACCCTTTCATGCTTATACCTGTATGATTAGTCACATGTCTCTCAGGTGACAAACAAAGGAGAGAATGTACTGATATGAGTCAGTTTACTGCTGTTAACATTTCAGGAAATTGTGCTGTATTTTCATGTTTCTTTGCTTTTATTGCTGCTTATTATTATTCAATTTTCATTTTTTCTGTACATTTCATTTCCTTTTTGTTAAATTTTCATTTATATTTCATGACTTTTCTGTTTTTAAAGTGTTTATTTCTAGATTAAACAGTACATCAGACATGTACTGTATATAAGAAAGGTTAAAACAGGAAATCATTTGAGGGTCTGGAACAGAGTAATTTAATTTACACTATTTCTAATGGGAAAAAATGCTTCAGTTTTCAAACCGCTTTCCAGAATAAATTAAGTTCAAGGACTGAGGTCCCAGGGCATATAGTAAAGAGAAATTGTGAGATGGAAGGGGAAGAAGAGGTAGAGGTAAAGATAGGGAGCAGTATTATATGGTTATATGTACTTATATACAAGGCAGTCAAGAGATATAATTTAAAGACAATGCTCAAGGCCTTGGCTGGGTAGCTCGGTTGGTTAGAGCATCATCCCCATATGCCAAGGTTGTGAGTTCATACCCTGGTCAGGGTACATACAAGAATCAGCCAATGAATGCATAAATAAGTGGAAAAACAAATGTCTCTCTCTCTCTTTCTCTCTCTCTCTCACTCTCGCTCTCGCTCTCTCCTTTCCTCTGGCTCTAAAATAAATTTTTTAAAAAGATAATGGTCAAAATATGAGTGTAGGGACATTATTTATAACAGTAATTAATTTAAAAATCCCAAAATAGTAATATAATAATTAAAACATAAATATGAGGATAGAAATAATTAGGTGGGGTCAGTGAGCCAAATCATCATCTATCATGGCAAGAATCAATAAATAATAAGTATGCTAAATCAGAAATTATCCGTTTAAATGTATTATTATTATTTTAAATGCTTTTATTGATGTTTTCAGAGAGAGAGGAAAGGAGAGGGAGATAGAAACATCAATGTGAGAGAGAAACATTGATCGGGCCTCCTGCATGCCCCCTACTGGGGATCCGGCTCGCAACCTGAGCATGTGCCCTGACTCAAAATCAAACTGGGATCTCTCAGTCCATGAGATAATGTTCAATCCATTGAGCCACACCGGCTGGACCTTTTTTTTGTTTTTTATCCTCACTGGAAGATATATTTTTGCATTTATCTTCAGATAGAGCAGAAGAGGGGGGGAGAGAGAGGAACATTGATGTGAGAGAGACACATTGAGTGGTTGCCACCCACACGACCCCAACTGGGGCGGGGACAAACATGCCCTTAGTGGGAACCGAACCTGGGACTCTCTGGTCCACAGGCCAGTACTCTAATCACTGAACCAAACTGGCCATGGCCCGGACCTTTTTTTAAAATAATTTTTTAGATGTTTTTTTAAGTGATTTTTTTAGAGAGGGAAGAAGGGAGAGAGAGAGACAGAAATATTTATATGAGAGAGAAACATCAATTCACTGCCTCTTGCACACCCCCCAACGGGGATCAAGCCTGAAACTGGGCACATGCCCTGACCAAATCGAACTGGGACCTCTCAGTCCATGGGACAATGCTCAGTCCACTGAGCCACACAGGTGGGGCTACTAAGCATATTATTTAGATACAGAGATGTAGTTGATTCCCAGAGGATTTAAAAATAGTTAAATGTAATTGTCCCTGGGGACAAGAAATGGGGATTAAGAAGTGAGGGCAGAGGAGGACTGCTAACCCCTTCTGTAGGATTTGACTTTTCAATCATGTGCCTGTCTTACTTTGATACAATTAAAAAGTTACTTGATGTGAGAGAATTGTTTTCAATAAACAAATATAAATTTAAAAAACCTTTCTGCCAGACTATTCATAAATAAGGCAGTCTCACATTAAACCAAAAATAAATGAAGCTTGTAAAACCTCTCCAACAGTCCTCTGCACCTAAAACAAGTGAAT